CTCGATCTCCTGACCTCGTGATCCGCCCACCTCGGCCTCCCAAAGTGCTGGGATTACAGGCTTGAGCCACCGCGCCCGGCCGAAGAAATGTTACAGGCAGGAACATACTCCTCAGTCAGCTTTTCCATTACCACGCCATTTTACTTAAATCTGTATTAAAGCCTTCAGTTTTCTCTCATAGTGGATTTTCATTTTCTCTCAGATGGTGAGAGGGCATCTGCTTCTTGGAATGTTTCCATAATGCTAAAAATAAATGTCTTCCACTATCTGGTTTGTTAAAATGATTACCCATGTGTTCTTTCCTTCTGAATTTTACTTAAATCACCTAAAAATCCACCATTGTGAGTAACAGGCAGTGTTATTTATCCAACCCCCCTACATTTTTGACAGTGTTACGTCAGTTCTCAAAGAACTGTACTTAACAGGGCCTCTGAGGAAAATACCAAAGGAAAAAATACTGTCAGTCCGTGGTGTCACTCTATTTTTTTTGCCCTGTGGCCCAATCTAACATTATAAGATAATTTTCCAGGCTATTCTGGCAAACCCTCATCTGTCTCCCAGACTGTCAATCTTTGACATTACTCTTGTTTTTTTTCCTTGAGATGGAATCTTGCTCTGTCACCAAGGCTGGAGTGCAGGGGTGCCATCTGGCTCACTGCAAACTCTGCCTTCTGGGTTCAAGCGACTCTCTTGCCTCAGCCTCCCGAGTGTCAGGGACTACAGGCGTCTGCCACCACGTCTGGCTAATGTTTTGTATTTTTAATAGAGGCGGGGTTTCACCACGTTAGCCAGGATGGTCTCCATCTCCTGATATCATGATCCGCCCACCTCGGCCTCCCAAAGTGCTGGGATTACAGGTATGAGCCACTGCGCCCAGCCTTTGACATTACTCTTAAGAGAACTTACAGTCTTCCTTAGAAAGTTTGAGTGCCTTCATAAATCTTGTGTGTTGCACAAAACGTGGTCCCCAGTTACCGAAGTCAGAATCTGCTGGGATCAAAGTCATTACAAGAATCACAGCATGTATACGAAGAGGAAAAGGTGCCACCTGTAGTTGGGACAGTCCTGTGGGTAGGGAATAGGCTGCTATTTATGTGGTACACCTCAAAAAACAAAAAATGCCAGTGATCAGATAAATGAAATGCCAACAGTTTAACAGGTAGATTCAGAACTAAAAATAAAACAATGTGAAAATAAAGACATTACACCTGTAATCTGAGCACTTTGGGAGGCCAAGGTGAGTGGATCACCTGAGGTCAGGTCAGGAATTCGAGACCAGCCTGGCCAACATGGCGAAAGCCCATCTCTACAAAAAATAGAAGAATTAGCAGGGCATGGTGGTGTGTGCCTGCAGTCCCAGCTGCTTGGGGGCTGAGGTGGGAGGATCGCTTGAGCCCAGGCTGGTTAAGGCTGCAGTGAGCCATGTTCGCACCACTGCACTCCAGCCTGGGTGACAGAGTGAGATCCTGTCTCTCAACAAATGAAAAAAAAAAAAAAAAAAGATAATGAGTACCTAACGGTACCACATGCTACAGAAAGAGGTCGAAGAAGAAAAGGATTATAAATGTCATTGAGAGATATTACCTTGAGTGGCTGAAGCAAAAGCATGGGGCTGAGTAGAAGACAGAAGAGAAGGGGTAGTTCTGTTACATAGTTCAGAAAGCACTGGGCTTAGACTAAAACCCACAAAATATAACAGACCCTGGCTCTGGCCTTGGGCAAGACACTAGAGCTCTGTAAGTTTTACTTTCTCCATTTAATATAATGGTGAGGGGAGGGTACCTTTATGAAAATCAGCCACATCTACAAAAAAAAAAAAATGCTGTTTTTCAGCTATACTGGTAACACAGGCATTCTCTAGTATGAGCTAGGTGATGGATTGTAGTACATGGAGTGGCCTACAGAATCACTCCCAGTCCATACATGGGGGACTGGCACAGAAGCAGCAATAAGGAGTGCTTCTGAGGTCAAACCGAGGCAGGAATTAGGAGCAAAAAGTGAGCAAGTGCAGGTAGAGAATGGGGAGGAGCTAAGAACGAGGAAGGGTAGCTTTAAGAAAGGAGGGGCCAGGTACCGTGGCTCATGCCTGCAATCCCAACACTTTGGGAGGCCAAGGCAGGCAGATCACGAGGTCAAGAGATGGAGCCCATCCTGGCCAATATGGTGTAACCCCGTCTCTACTAAAAATTAGCTGGGCGTGGTGGCACGCACCTGTAGTCCCAGTTACTC